CAGATCAGGGCGCAGTGTCGATATTGTATTTTATACTTCAGCAAAGCCTCTCGTGAGGGGTCTTATGGATCTCTGCTTGCAGTCAGTTCAAGTGGACTTCGGTAAGTCTCAGGCTGGCGGATGAGACCTGAATGAGGCAGTGAGACGGAAGTCACGTGGTGGAGGACAAGCCCCGATGACAATGTGAGCGAAGGGGGCCTGTTGGGGGAAAAGGCTGGAAAATGGTACCCGTGTAAAGAAGAACAAGCTGAGTTTAACTAAGCTTGTTTTACTGGACACTTACACGTTCAAAGAACACTTTACCAAGCTCCAAGTATAGGGAAAAGAAGTTGTTCAAATAACACTGCCAAACCCCATGGATATAAATAAAATAAGAAGTTCTTAAAGGGCACAGAGGCTGAACCCAAAAAGCTTACGTTCAAGTACAGTCCAGAAAACAAGAATTACAGAAACAGTATATATGTTTTTATAGCTGTTCATAAATGTCAAGGAGTCGCTGAAACAGGAGTGACTTGGAGTCCTGGAGGGAATTTGATTCAAGAGCTTCTCAGAGGAGTGTGGTGACGTGTTGGAGGAATGTGGGTGGGTGGCCAGGAGGAAGGCAGGCAGCCTGAGAGAACATATTGCTGGGGGCAAGCTAGGGAGAGAACGTGGCTGAGTCTCAGTGATGGGACGAATCTGGGGAGTGATGAAGAATAGCTGGGTCAAACTTAATCTGTATCTTAGGTAGGAAGGAATGCTTGGTGGGGCCTGTGAAGATCATAGTCGAGAGTCGTAAGTTTTCTTTGAAAGGAAATGAGAGACATTGAGACTTCCGAGGAAAATGGTTCCTTGGCTGGAGAACTTCTGTGGGTGCAGGATGAGGCGGGTGGGGGGGGCCTCTCTAGTTCTGAGGATTGGAATCACCCACTGTGTGAATGGAAGATGGAAAGAGGTAGCAGAAAGCAGCTTCACTGGCAGGTCAGAGTTGGGCTGAATCTCAGAGACAAAGGAGAGAAAACTCACAGATAGCCGGAAGTTGCTAACTAGCAGGACAATAGGAATACAATCATGGAGAAACAAGGAAAATATTACAGCAGGAGGAAACTTAATGTGGATCTTGGATTCAGATATGTTAGCTTTAAATAGCAGTGGACTTCTAAGTAGACATCTCCTACCAAAAAAATACTACTACTAATAATAATGGCCAGACTTGGTCTGGATAAGCACAGGGGAATACAACAGTCTTGGAAGTGCAAGGTTCCGGAACTAGAGACCCCATATACTGTGGTGGCAAAGACATTGGTGCCAAAGACCCTGCTTCAACGACTGGAAAAGTCTAGTCTAGAACGTCCAGCCCACGAGGAGGGAGATTTGTGGTTGGTCTGATTCAGTAGAAAAATACTGATTATTGGACTGATACCAACTGGCAAGAGGTCACTAGCTGATGATCACAAATTTCTTGTTCTTGTCTATTGAGCATTATTTTAAAAGTTATGTAATTTCCTTTCTTTTATTCTTATTTTTTAATAATTTGGGGGGAGGAATGATTTTAGATATACAGAAAAGTTGCAAAGATAGTACATTTCATTGTCATGCTTCTTCCTCAGTCTCCTCTGCTCTGTGACAGTTTCTCAGTCTTTCCTTGTTTTTGACGGCTTGACAGTTTTGAGGACTACTGGTCAGCTATTTTGTAGAATGTCCCTCAATTTTGTTTTTTCTGATGTTTTTTCATGAATAGGCTGTAGTTAATGGGTTTGGGGGGGAAAGACCACAGAGACAAAGTGCCATTCTCATCACATCATATCGAGGTGCCCACTATCCATGTGACATATCGATGATGACATTGACCTTGATCACCGACCAGGTGGTGTTCAACAAGTTTGTCCATGTGACATATCAATGATGACATTGACCTTGATCACCGACCAGGTGGTGTTCAACAAGTTTGTCCAGTGTAAAGCTACTTTCCCCTCTCTTCCATACTGTATTCTTTGGCAGCAAGTCACTAAGTCCAGCCACATTCAAGGGCAGAAGGTTGCACTGGGGAAGTGTCTCTGTAAATTATTTGGAATTCTTCTGTAAGGAATATTTGTTCCTTCACTCCCATTTATGTATTTACTCAGTCATTTACTTATGTCAACATGGACTCATAGATTTATTTTATACTTTGAGTTATAATACAGTACTATGTTATTTTCTTCTTTGCTCCAATTATTACAGCTTTGGCCCCTGAGAGCTTCTTCAGGTTGGCTCTTGAGTCCTTTGACATGGCCTGTCCTTATGTTATTTGAGCATTTCCTCACCTTTTGCTACTACAAGATGGTCCAGGCTTATCTGGTACTGTCCGTGACCCAATCCTAAAACGAGCCATTTCTCCAAGGAGGCCTGGTTCCTTTTACTGGAGAATTGCATTTAGAAACCAAGATACGGGCCCTGGTTGTGCTCAATGCTACTGGAATGTGCCGGCTTTTAGGTCCTCTCAGCAGACAGAGCTAGAAATATGTGTATGTATGCTAATTCATGTATTTACACATATCTATAGTTATTTTTGTATCCACCTAGCTGCATCTAAGCTAAACATGAGTTCATACTGATGTCTCTGACTCTAATCTAGTAACCTCTCCTTTCATGTATCTTTAAATTTCCTCTCCCAACAGTGAGAAACTCGGTTCCCACCATCCACCATCCATTTACTTATTAGCTGGACCCCAGTGCACAGGTAAACTCCCTCAGAATTGTGAACCAGTGCCCCTACTTTTATCTATGCTTTTGAAGCACAAAATAGTCACATATTAAACTTGTGCACAACAAAAGCTTGGAGGAAATGTATAGGTGCACAACAGAATGGGGATTCAAAAAGATACCAATTGGCTAGAAGAATGAATCCGAGTAAAGACGTAAATTCACAGGATACACAAAGGTTTGAAAATAAATAAGGAATGAGAAAACTGAGCCCAGGCTGAGCAGCAATTCATAAGAGAGGGGAGAGTGTCCATGTATTTGGTTGACCAGAAGCTCAGAATGTCACTGTGCTGCTAAACAAAACCAATGGAGAGTCTGCACTGATGAAAACAGAATATTCCAGCCAAGGCAGGAAAATGCCACCTGGTCTGTGTACAGGTCAGACACCATCGCTACAGATGCAAGCATTTATATCCATCCTTTACAAGAGTGCACAGGAGAGGGCGCAGAGCCATGCAAGAGGGATAGGATCACACTCTTAAAATACGAGCAGGGATTACATGTACCCTGTGCCACTCCAGAGGACAGAACTGAGACCTACAAGTGTGAGCATCAGTCCCAAACCCATAGGGCTGAACAGGGCGGGGCAGGCCATCTACCCCATGCACTCCGGACTTGAGGACAGCAAACTCAGCACAAAGTCCAGGAGACTGAAGGACAATATTGGAGGTCACGTCCTAGAGAAAGCGTCAAGGCGGCGCTGGAAGGACAGTCCACCTGGGTTGTTAATGACAAAGCTTCGGTGAAAAATGCAAATAAAGTGAGGAACCAATATGAGGGAGGTCAGGGGACCAGGGCCACTGATATCAAGGAGCAGGAGGAGGAGGGGCCGGGGGACTCCTGAGGATAAACGTCCCCTTTGGTTCCGTCCCAGCATACTGCTGACCTGCAAGCCAAGTCCGTTTGAAGGACACAGAGCAAAACAGCCCCAGTGAGGACAGTAAGAGGAAGGCAGACTTTGTTTGATTAGAGGGAAAACGTTCTAACAATTAGAATTGTCAAAAAATAAAACATAATCCCTATCAAAAGAGGGTTTCCAACAGAGCTGGTCAGGCAATATCAGCGGGGGCGGCTGCCAATGACAAATTGATGCAGACACTCCATGATCATAAGAGGTTAATAAATGCTGGGAAGGGAGACCTGGGGCTCTGTTGGTTTAGGAGGGCAACTGAACCACTGTGAGCTGATGGGGTCCCTGAGGAAGTAAATAACGCTAATCAGAGATTCAAAATGCCTGGGATGAAATCGTACGTTCCAGTGCCATGGAGTACTGGAAATGTGTTTGATTTGATGTGGCATTGTAAGTTGCTTTGGTTCTTTCTTTTACATCCATATTTTTAATTTTTAAAAGTATTTGAAAAAAAAAGATAGTCTTTAAAAAAAACACTCCCACACTAAAATGAGTCAGGAGGCCAGAATTCTAATCCTGACTCGGGCACAGACTCCCCACAGGAGTCTGGGCAAGTCACTTGGCTGCTCCGAACTTTGATTTCTCAATCCATAAAAGAAAAGGACCGGAAATAAAGCTAATCAAGCCCCTGTTCCAAGTCTGGGTAATGTCTCTTTAACATCTTTGTTAGCAGAAGGAAAATGAATTGAAAAACACAAGCATCTGACTTCCCACCAGGGCCGTAGTTCAAATAGTGACGAGGAGAAAAAATATGAATGGATTCAAAGCTTACAAATAGAGGAGCCAAAAAAGTCAACTTAGATCTATAACAGAACTTCACGATGTGTGCCGTAAAGTGACCAAAATGTGTGAGAGGTGAGACTAGACATTATGTCAGGACGAGTTTAGAAAGGAACAGAGCCGCACAAAGGCCAGTGCTATTTTGGTTTGCACATGGAAAGACATCCTGTCATGGGATATTATATTCTGTGTGGGCACCTCAGAGTGCAGGAACAAGAAGGACTCCTGAGGGATGAAAAGGAAGATGGAGAGCCGAGAATTAGCACATGAGCTAAGAGGCGACAGTGTTTCGCCCAGAGCCTGGCGTCTCAGAGGAGCTCAGCACACGTTGGTTGAATGAATAACTCAAAACTCACAGCAGAAGGGAAGAGTGGGCAGATGAAGAACTGTTTACTTTGTAAAATGTGAATAAATAAAATCCAGCGTGAAACTAACCCAATCTGATATTGATATTTACATACATACATACATGTTTGCCAGTTATTTGTGAAAGAGTGTAAGGTCAACACTTGAACCAAGATTCTCAGCAAAAAATTTTGGATAAAAGTAAATGTATGCAGAATCACAAACAGAAAGTACAAACCGGTTACCAGGGAACTGTGAATTTATTTCCCAGAAGCCTTAGGGGCAGCCCAGGGTACCATGAAAAATCATCCTGGGGAAAACCCCACATCCACATGGTAGAAATTTATCCTTCTCAAAGCAATATGCCCAAGGGTCTGGCCAGAGCTGTTTCGGAGGTCGGTGCTATGTCTCCATACGTCTACGTTTTTCTAGCATTGATTATTCCTGTGGCCCACCCAGGCTTAGGAGAGAGGCGATGTTGATGACAGTAGAGGTCCCATCTGATCCTGCAATTCTCGGGTGTAGGGAAGACAGTGTGAGTAATTTAAAATGAAAGAAAAAGCTTGGGTTTGGGATGTTTTGATCATTGAGTCTGTCAGCAAACTTCTTGAGCTTTTAAGGTGGGTAAAATGCTGAATTGATAAGGGTGTTGAAAATGAAAAAATGTGTCCTTTTGAAACTCGAATCACAATCTGAGCAGAGAAAAACAATACAAACAGAAAATTTATTATAAATATTGGCAGCTTTAATAAATGTTAAAATAACAAAACAAGAAAATGTTAAAAGAAAACAAAGAAACAATAAAGGGATATACAGAAATGATTTGCAAATAAGATAAATGATTATGGGGCATGTGAGGATGACTATGGTGACTTCTAACACAACCCAAGACTTCTTCCCTTGGGAAGGCTGAGGGCGGAGGTGGGCCTCGGTTGAGCACCTTCCAGGACCCAACCCACTGTGTGTGACCTCCTCTAACCCTGATCCCCTGGGAGTAGAGGTGACGATTACTTGTGGTTTGCAGGACAGGAAACTGAGCCTCAGACAAGTTAGGTCACATGCCTGAATTCCCCACGGCTACTAGGTGGAGGAGCAGAGATTCAAACCCACATCGGCCTCACAGTGCACACTCTTTCCACTAATCTCCACGGTCACGTGACTGGCTAAATGATGGAAGAGAACAGAAATCAATTTAAAATATGTCAGTTTTGGGTAATAACCAATGAGAGTGTGGGAGATCCACCCTTGGAGAGCTTTCTGGAAGTAGACTGCAGAAGCAACACTTCCTCTGAGAGCTCTGTTGACGGAGGGAGCTCTCACCCTCAATTCAGCCCTGATTTTTAAAAAGCTCGCATGTGTCTCTCACAGGTTCTCTTTTACGGCAATGTCCTTAAGCAAGATCAACCTCAGGATTCAGGGAGAGCCTAGTGTGAAATACCACAGGTGCTCCATCATGCGGTGACTCAGTAAATGGGAGAGCGCGTGCTCTCACCCTGGAATCCACCTGCTCCCCCTTCCAAAGATTTGATCTGTAAATCAGAGATTGGGAGCCCAGGAGCAAAACTGTAAGAAAGGATTGCTGTTGTGAATTGTTTGTAAATTGCTATTTCTGTGTTAATTTGTAGACTAAAAATGTCGTCAGACCCCATAGACTACTTGAGGAGTATTCCTACCCACAGAGAGAGAGAAAATGGGGCTGCAGGTGGGAGCTGTTTCCTCTCTCCTGCTCTATTTTATTTTCCATCACCTTTCTCCTTTCCCCATGGAGAACAGGGCCACATGGAGAATTAATCCGAAAGACTAACGTGTTATCTTCACCAGGTGGAAATTTGCCGAAAGCATGGGGTGAACTGAAGTCAATTCTGAATGAGAATGTCATGTTTAAGAGCTTTTAAGGTTCTGATAACACTATATAAAATTTCTCCATTGAACTTTCAAGTTCTAGAAGTAAGAAATGAGTCAAAATGCAACTCTTCATTATTGTGGATCCCAGGATGTCTACACTTTGGGCTCTCAAGCCTTCCAGAGGCCCTGACTCATTGGTCAGAGGCCTGGCTTGGGGGTCACATCTGATTTCCAGGCTTGATGCGACATGACATGGGACAATTCACTTAGCTTCTCTGTGCCTTAGTTCCAGCTCTAAAATCTGGAAATTCCATAACTCAGCCTACCTGGCTCAAATGCTTTAAATACGGCCTTCTGTATAAAACATGGACACTTGTAGTTAAATATCTTATTAATTACCTGTTGAATGAATGAATGAAGGAATGCCAGTCAGAGCTCTGAAACCATTTTCTTGAAAACTTTGAAAGAACAATCAAAGGCAAAGTTCAGCAACGAAAAACTGGAGACTTTGATTTCCTGTCACCAAACAAGTTGAAAAATCTTAGTAAGAGACACTTGAACCTTTTAAGTATCATCTTGCGGTAATAATGACCTCTCATGCATATTTATGCACTTAGCTTTATAATAACCACTTGAAAGACTAGCTTTTTTTTCCCCCTGGGAATGAAGCTATGTGAAGTGTGACAAAATATTCCAAGTTCAAAGGTCCAAATATGTAAAATACAAAAATGTTGGAATTTCTTCCACAAGTAGAAGGCATCTTGGTGTTTATTGACTCAGGGAACATTGGTACACTCAGCCTGTCCTTGAAAGTCATGAAATTCTTGCCTGCCTTCAACTCAGCATTCCTCCTGAGGAACACAGGTCATCCTTGCTGAAGTGCGCATGGTTTGGTCTGGGTCAAGACAGGTAATATTTGGTGATGGAGAAAACTGGTTGGCTGTTGGGTATTTCACAAAAAATCCCAAACAGACTCCACAGCCAGAGCTGCCTTGCAAAACCTTTTTGTTGCTGTTACTCAACGTCATTCATTACTCTCTCAAAGTAAAATCATATGACCCCCATTTCCTCGGTAAGTTAATTATTTTATTTCTTTGTATGAGGCAAAACACTACTTTTATTGTTAATTAATATGCTAAAATTAGGTTATACCATTCTAGACATGTGAAATTGAATTTAGTACTTTCAGATATATTTTTTAAAAGCTGGTTAAAAATAAATGCCTTAAACATCTTTTCTTTTTCCAACTGAGCATAGAATTTCCTTCCAATGCAATTTTATTTCTTCCTGCTGTTAAAAATGACATAATGCCACTTATTTTCCAAAGGGAGGGGGCAAAATAAGAATAAGACATTCAGTTAGCATTTCAAAATTCAGATATTTAAGAATTGAGCAAAAAAAAGAAAAGAAAAAAATACAACAACAGAGAGATAATTACCCCTTGGTTTCAGGACAAAAATAATTAAATGGAAAAAAATGAGCAGACTTTGTTGTTTTTTTTAAACTAATTTCAAGCACTTAAGATTTTTCTTTTCTTTGCCCATTGATCAAAGTGAAGATATAATAGGAGATTCAGAAATTTCTCTTCTTGAAGAAAAGTAGAAATAACACATCCATCCTAGGGAAAGGCAGCATGAGAGCTTCATCAGACGATGGGGCACAAAATGATTTCTCGATTCTCTCAGTTCTTCTGCTCTAATGAAATTCCACCTGATATATCTGCCATTGAGTGCTGTTAATTACTTTTCTATTTATTTAGTAGACCTACAAGTGGAAAGCAATCTATTGCCAGGGAATTGTTTGACTCTTATGCTAAGTAGACGGCATTCCAATCCGGTGAGGTTGACAGCAGCTGGAGCTGAACTTTTATCTCATTGCCATGTCAAATTAGCACCCAGCAGGCCCTAGATACAGCGAGGGGTTTTTTTCCTTCTCTGCAAAAGGTTAATAGTTCTTAGAAGTCAATAAACTGAGCCTGGGCATCTCTGTTGTCAGCCCCTGCTTCTTTTTCCCTGAAAATGATAGGAAGGATTGTGTGTAGAGTTCACATGGCAGGGAAGGGGTTCTTTATGTCAAGGATCTAACTGTAAGTACGTAGCCTTTTAAATCTGTGATGTAAAATGCACTTTTAAAAGTATGCCGTGTCTCCTAGAGATGAACGAAAGAGCAAGTTCATGTCTAAATAACGATGAAGCTTACAAGTCCATATTGTATTACAAGTCCTTTATTCCCCTGTACCAGGTTTTCACCAAGCAAATGTGTGAATTATGGTCACATTAATATGGGCCTGACCTTCCTTCTTCACCCCTGGGGTCATTTGGTGGTCAGTTAAGAGGAAACCCAAAGGAGAGATAAGACTTATCTTTGCACCCCACTCTGGGTTTTCCAGGAGATGGGGGAGAAGCAGATGCCACAGATGTCCAGCTAAAAAGCAGTTATTTAAGGCAAAGAGAGAAGAGCACAAACTGATGAGTGAAAGATCAATCCAGACGTTTCTCTCGAACAATAGAGTGAGGTTCTTTACGTGTGAAACCCTCACCGTTCAAGAGTAGAAAATAAGGCTTTCTCTCCATTTCAATCTCTTCTCATCATGTGCTCTGCTTTTTAAAAATTTTTATTTTTCTTAAGACTGCAAGCCACACAGGCTCTTTCTGGAACATTAAAATAAGCCAAGAGAAGAGGCACAGTTACACAGGGAGAGTAGTAGTAAGATAGGCTAGCAATGAAAATTCTGCTTCCTGTTTCCATTTTTTACTGAGACCTCCTTCCTTTATTGAAGCTATTGCTAAGTGATTGAGTGACTGTTCAATATGAAGACTGCTTATGCTTGAGGGGCTGCACTGGATGGAAGTCTAGAACTTTGAGTGGTGACCTGAGATGCTGAGCAGGCATCCCGGCTGCTCCCATCCTGGCTGATCCAGGCACACCTCCTTCCCACCACTGGTGAGTCTGCTCTCCCCTCTCTGAGCCTGGCTCCTGACCTTCCCCTTGTGTCATGGTGACTTCCTCCCCCATCCACCCACCCAAGGCCCTCATTTCCTTTGACCTTCAACTCCTTCAAGAAGCATTTCCTGAATCTCTGGGGCCCACACTGGTGACGGCCCAGCTCCCAGTTCCTCCTCACTTAGGGAGACTTGCCCTGCCATCCTTACCAGCTCGTATTTGCTTTGAAAGCAGGACTCACGTGTCCTACTGGAGGGGGTCCTTCTGCAGGTCCTGCTGCAACATCCTGTGACCCCAGAAGGGGAATGAGGAGCCCAAGGCATCATTCTCCCTCTGGGCTTCACTGCCACCAAACTGGAAGCCCCTGGGCCAGTCCTCTGTGGATCCACTTCCATTTCCTTCCTTGTTGGAACCCTGTCCTCCTTGTTGCCTCTTCCAAGCTCAGGCTTCAGTCCCTCCTGCCCGGCTGGATCCCGTCCCAAGGGCCCTGCAATGAAGTCTATTTTTAACTCCGTCCAATCAAGCGTCTGTGAAAAGAGAGCATGAGTGACCCTCCAAGACCACCTTCTCCAGGGCTGACTCTTCTACTCGTCTCCATTCTCTCCCCTACCTTGATCTGTCCATGTGTCTAGACACCATGTCACCACGGGAGTGTTACTTTTGTGAGGGCTAGGATTAGACGCTCTCTCTTTTCTTCTCCCGATGGGAGAGTCAATTATGCATCAGAGTCTATTAATCTTATAAACAGTTATGGAGCTGAAGAGGCTGAATCGAACAGCTGAGGTTTTAAAGAAGTTGGAGTACTAGAGCCATTATTATAATGAAGTTCCGTGATGTATAATCATATCTCTGGGTGACCAGGTGCAATTCTTTAAGTCTGAGAAATTGTAAATAATGCATAGGGTATTTTTTATGTATACAAAGCAGCCTCCCCAAAGCTTGAGCTCATAACCAACCATCTCCAGGTCCCCTATCTGAGGGGAGCACCTACTCTTAGCCTAAGCAGTGTGTCTTTGGTGCCTTCATCCGTAAGCTGACAAACCCCGCAGGCTAGAAGACACCTCCTCCTCCTCCTGTCCTGTCCACACAGGACCGAGAAAGATAGCCAGCGCGAGGAAGAGGGATGTGAGGCTGTCCTCTTGGATTAAGACCTGTGTGTTTGTCTGTCTCTTAAATTTGGTTCAGTGGCATAAAAAAGGGAATTTATCTTTCTCCCCAGATGCAACAAACAGATGCTGGGGACCAGAGACCTTGCATAGTCAATAAAAGATAAGTTATAAAATCTATAAAACTGCTGAAAGAAATCAGAATTTCAGCAAATTTCAGGGGTTTTTTCCAGGCTGCTCCTTTTGATCAACTATGGGGAGAGAGAGGGAAAATTCACTCGTGCATAAATTCCATCTGTTATTATAGCATGGTATGATTGTGGCCGGAAGAAGAATACAGGATAGAGTGATATTGGAGCTGTGATATTGACGAAGTAGAAATGGAGAATGATGCCAGTGATAAAAACAAGGCTGTCATGATCAATTAGCATTTAACTTTTTCTAAAGATCTTGGAGGCAATGGGTTCTTTAGATTTTAATGTGCATCTTCAAAGTAATTTTGTAAGCTGTTTAAATGATGCTCCCTTTTTACAACTCTACATAATTTGATTATACAAACCATCCTCCAATCCTTGGATATGCAAATCCTGCATCAAAATGATTTTTTTCCCTATTTTGATAGAATCTGATGTTCATTGCCATGATAAGAAGTGACACAGATGACGGCAGAGCATCAGTAACCCGTTCATCTGGCGCACTGGAGCTGTAGAGATTTTTATATGACTGCTTTTTGAGAATCACTCTTAAGAATAAAAATTTGGAAATCAAAGACAGGTTAGTGACTGAGGTTTGGAGTCAAACTGCCGTGGATATAATCCTAGGGCCACCAGGATGCTGAGTTTGCAAACTAAATTCTCAGAGCCTCAGTTTTCCCACCTGTAAAAGGGAATAGTAAGACAGAGCTCACAGAAATGTTATAATTTTAGTACTTAGGGTGAAAACAGCTGGCAGGACATGGAGAAGACCCTTAAATGGCAGCAGCTGCTATCATAGCTCTAACACTACTATTAGTATGACTATTAACAAAATCTGGGTTATTGCCTTGGCAAAGTTATTTTTCAAGCAAGAATCAAGTGACATTGTGATGCTGTGATTATGCCAATGGCTGAGTTTCTTAGGAGAACTTAGATGAGAGGACAATCGAGATGTGTCTTTGAGGAGTCATCACCAGAAAGTACCAGCCTAGAATGGCAGACCGTCCATTCAGCCAACCTTTCTTCAACACTTTCTATGGGTCAGATATTGTACTAAGTGCTCAGGACTTAAGAATATAGATTTGGAGGCATAATCCTTGAAGTCTGAGATTTCACGATCTAATTGGCACAGAGGGGAGACAAACAATTACACTCCCATAGCATAAGCACCAAATGGAGGTGCAAATCTCTAAGGCTCAGGATCAGCAGAGAGAAGACATCTAGTTCTGCCTGGAGCAGTTCCAAAGGCTTCAAGGTGGACATGATATTTGAGTTGATGCATGAAAGACGAGTTGATGCTAGACAGACGAGTGTCAAGAAGTCCATTCCTCTTGAGCGGTGGTTACCGCCCAGGTATCATTTGGCAATGTCTGGAAACATTTTTGATTGTCATGACTTGGGGGTATTACTGGCCTCTAGTGGGGTAGAAGCCAGCTAGAGATGCTGCTACAAGGTACGGACAGCCCCCTCAAAAAATCCAGCCCCAAATGGTAACAGTGGCCAGGTTGAGACAACCTGAGCTGAAGGTACCATGTGAGCAAGCACATGGGGGTAGGAGAGCACACAGCGAGTCTGGAAAATCCCAGGTGATTCAGTATGGCCTTGTCTGCTTGGGGTAGACGGGGAGGAATCTGGATGTATAGGTAAGGGTCAAATTGTGGACTTTATAGGCCATCATGAGCTTAGGTTTGGTCCTGTTTTGGGGCTCCTTAAACTTCCCTTGAAATGGCCCCAACACTAGAGGGAACGAAACTCAGTTCCCCGTATTGGGAAGCAATAGTCTGAAAAAGCCTAAGTTCCTGCATTGTCCTAAAAAGTCAAGCAAGTTTTGTTTCTTTTCATAATTAAAATAAAAAACAATGATGAGGTCTTTTTCCCCTAGAGATTTAAAATCATTACTTCAGGCAGACGAGCCGTTATGTGTGATCGAGGATGAGAAACATGAATGGGCAGGGCAAGCGCTGAAGAATTTTGAAGAAGGAGATGACAGGAGCAGATGTGTGGGTTTGAGTCCTTCTGTCACACAGGGCTGCGCAGAGTGGGCCACATCCCCGAAGGACTGACTCACGACCTGGTGCCACGTTGACCCAAGGTCACAGCTAGTTTTGTCCCCAGCAGCAGTGGGATCTGAGGAGCAGGCTCCATTAGTGGAAAGAGCACTGGACTGAGACACCAGGAACTTCTAGAGACTCTGGCTCTGCCACTCATAAGCTGTGTGACCCAAAGAAAATACTTCATCTCTCTGGTCCCAGGTGACTAGAGTAACCCAGGTGAGGTGAGCCCTCACATTCTGTGCCTCTTGGCAGTCGAGTAAGCCTTTCTGCTGGGTGCTCACACAGTGGTGTGATCTGGGAAGTCAGCTGAGTCCTGGCTGGGCCCGCACCCCAAACACAGCCCAGTTATGGGCCTGAGGGGACCTCGGTGGAATTTAGCAGCAGTGAGTTTAATTTTCCACTTTCCTAACTTCATTCCTTCGAGTGTTGAGAACACTTTGGCCTTCAAGAGTCCCTTATTATTACACAAATCTCCCAAATCCCTTGTCAGCTGACATCTCAGGCTTCAGAGAGCCGTCCAGCACCCAGCACGTATTCACAGGAACAAGACTTCGGAGAACAGCAGAGAGAAGCCAGCTCGTGTTACAGGAGGACAAATACCGTTAATGTCTTTTCAAACATATTGACTTCCCTGTTTATTTAGGTAAGGCTCTTTCTCTCTGGGGTTGCAAAGCATATTACAAAACTAGAAATGGATCTTTTCTGCCTGCTCCAAGGGCCGCAGTTGAACAAAAGGCACACGAAGAGAGAGAAGAGATCACGGCCCCTCACTGCCAGGCACGTGGTCACAGGCTCAGAAATGTCCTCCTTGTTCTCCACGTGGTCTTGACTAAATCCTGAACTGCTCCAGTGTGTGTCCTCGGCTGTAAATGAAGAAGCTGAAATAGACGGCTTCCACAACTCCTTCCGCTTTTGTGATTATGAGGGGTGAGCCAGTGGCTCTGGGCTGGCTCTTGCTGAAAACTGGGGATGGTAACCCTAGTTAGTAAATAAAAGGCCGCTGAGGCAGTGAAGTGAGACTGAGGGCCGCCCTGTGGGCATGGCTGCGTTGGAAGTGCTGCTACCACTCAACAAATAATTGCCCCACAGTGCTGGGGCGTTAAGGACGAAGAATGGCCCCATTGAAGGAAGGAAACCAGAGAGCATGGGGGGAGTGGGCGGGAGGGGGCCCAGGATGAGGAGGACCACAGCAGGAGGACTGCAAGACTTGCAGGTGCTGCTGGGATCTCAGGGAGCACATCCCCTTGTGGTTTGGGGGGATGGACTGATCATGGAGGGATTGCCCCTTGACTCACGGGCATTTGGGAAATACGTTCTTCCCTTGCCCTCTTTGTTTGATCGTAGTTATTCTTCAAGTAAGAATCATACAGTCATATCACAGGGCAGTTTTTAAGGGCAGTCCACGTGACCACTGGAGTGTGTGGCTTTCGTGTCATTCGTGTGTGCGTGAGCTCCTCCAGCATCCCCTCTCCCAGCCCGTTCCATAGGATCCGTCGGTTGGTTTGTCCTACGTCCCCAACCTCAGAGTGACCTGGATGACCCAGGCCTCTGGTTCTCACGGGAAGGAAGCTGAAGTCCTGTGTCCTTGGGTGACTGGACCTGGAGTTAGAGGCTGGGGTGATGCAGGCACAGGCTGGTGGCAGAACCTGTCTCCACGTGATGCCCTGAGAAGGATCCAGGTTGGAGACATATCGACAGACTTTTTATCAGTTTTTTGAGCATTAAAAACCTAGATTTGTTATGTATGAAATATTCATAAATTGGCCCAATTTCATCTTTTTATTGATTGATGCAGAGAAATACGTGTATCAGCAATACAAATCATGCATACCATAAAAAAAGATATTCTTTTGAGAGTTGTCTTTGCTGAGATATCAGATCGCATCGCATCTCCACGGGCTGTTACTTCACCCGCTCCTGAGAACAAAGCCCACGGAGGTCCCCCTAGCACATGGCAGCTCCCTCAGACTCCGGGGCCAGGGCTGAGCCTCCTCCCAGTGGGGAAACTTGGCACTAGACCTCCTCAGGGAGCCAGAAGCCCTAGCATTGAGTCTGGGTCCCAAGGCCAGTGCTCAGGCTCCTGTCCCGCCCATCAGACCCGGATCCGGTGCCCTGGGGTTGCCTGTACGTCCAGCTGTCCCAGCAGCTGTGCTGGCCCTGCGCCTCATCAGAGCCAGAATGCTGTGACTACATCCTAGTGCCAGATGCCCTTCTACCCCTCCCTACAGCCCCTGTGAGGAGGTCCCATTCCTCAGCCCCTCTCAGATGAGGACATGGAGGCACTGAGAGGGTAAATTGTGTTAGAGCCAGGTTCCAAACTCGGCAGTCTTGCCATGTGTCCACATTCTGAACCACCATGCAGCAGATCCCCACGTGCATCCAGGCGAGTGGAGGCCCTTTCAGAGGTCTCCAAGGTCAGAACTAACTAAATTATAACACTAAGATGTTAGGGACCTTCTTCCCGCCCACTCCCGGATGTATACAGTGAGTCTTCCAGAGGCTGCCTGAGGTGTGGTGACATCATCACTGTGACAGCTAGTGGCATGCCTACTTTTGTTCTTGGGTCTTAAAAAATGTCTCAGTTTTAATTTCTAATGAGGCTGACATTGATTGATATAGGCACCTGGGCCTTTGTGGGATTCTCAATAATTTTTAAGGATGTAAAGAGATCCTTAGACAAAATGGTTTGAGATCCACTGCTCTGGGCTAGGCCACACCCAAGTCTGCTTCTTTGCTCCTGCTCTCTGGCCCCACCCAACCCCAGTCCAGCCACTGAGGCCCTGTACCCTTTGGCCACCCCCTGACCACCTGTCACAGATCCCAGTTGGGGTGACTTCTCCAGCTCACAGCTGCCATGCCTACACCACGGCTGATTATTCTCACACTCGATTGGGGCCAGCTTCTTCCTCCGGAATCTGAAACTTGAAAGCGGAGAAAGACCAGACGTCAGGAGAGCAATAGTATTTTAATGACAGAATTCTAGAAAATGGCAGTGTCTAATGACAGTATCTACTCTGGATTCTGTGTTGGCCCTTGAAGTGGATTGTTCGGCTCTTCTGTAAATTCTCTGAGCTACCCCAGTAGCTGTCAAATATCCTTTTATCACTTAAGGTTGCTTGAAAAAGCAGAAGCTTAACTAATAGGAAAAATTTAATATACCTTTCCTGGATTCCCCACTCCATCTGCTTATTATAATCTGTTAATTTTCCTTTGGGCCCCATTGCTCGTCTCCTGCCTGAAACTGCTGTGGGCATTGCACTCTGAGGATCACCTGGCCAGCCTTAGTATCATTCCAGAGCTGCTAGCTCTAGTGGGTGGTCTCGTCTCCTCATCTCTCTGCCCATCCCACAGCTCCTCAAAGGAAACCCCATGCCTCAAGCTTCAGCGTTAAGAAGGGACAAATGGAATCTATAATATGACAGGTCTAGGCACCTTTTGGAATATCTTATTCTTTGGGCTCAAAGCCCCTGTGAGAAACCTGGGCATCTCTCTCCCTGGAGCAGCCCAACTGACTGGCACAAAATCCTCCCCTGGAAACAAACTGGCCACTATGTAGCAAAAATAATAACAATAATAATTAAAAGAAAATTAACAAACATTAACTACGACATAACAGGAAAGATGCATGAATTTCACGTTGCATAATGAGTATTTCCTCTCTGTTATTTACCATCAGTAGTGCATTGAATACTGGTCCCCCAAAAGATGTGTCCAGGTCCTAACCCCAAGAACCTGAGTGTGATCTTATTCAGAAAAAGAATCTTTGAAGACGTAATTAAATTCAGGATCTTGAGATGAGATCATTCTGGATTATCCGGGTGGGCCCTAAATCCAATGACAGGTATCTTTATAAGAGACACTCAGAGGACAGACAGAGAGAAGAGGGGAAGGTCATGTGAAGACGGAGGCAGAGATTGGAGTGATGCAGCCACAAGCCAAGGAATACCTGCAACCCCCAGAAGGTGGAAGAGGCAAGCAATGGAATCTCTGTTAGAGCATCAGCCCTGCCGACACCTTGACTTTGGATTTCTGTCCTCCAGAACTGTTAGAGACTAGATTTCTGCTGTTTTAAACCACCAAGTTGTGGTAATGTGTTAGGGCAGCCCCAGGAAATGAATCCACCACCTTAGATGGAAAGCCCATGATTTCAGGGACTCTCACCTACTGGCCCACCCTCTGATACTAGAAGGTGCTCCCAAAGTGCAATACAGTGCTCCTGGCAGCCCCGGCTGTTCCACTGTTACACTCACTCTCACCCAAAACGTGGATAGTCCCGTCCCCTGCCTTCCCCACAGCTTCTGGCTGGAGAAATCTCCTAATAAAGCAGTGCAAGAGGGACTGGCCAACGATGGCCACTTCTCTGACAGAAGGTGCAGCCCTTGCAATAAGGGGCCATGTAGAGGACATCTTCACCTTGAACCTCTGCATGCACAGAAGGCTAAACTTGTATGTACGCTCTTCATTTGATCTCGCACCATGTGGTTCTTCACTCTCCACTCCTCTTCTTTTCAGTTGCCCCCTGTTGGGTTTCTACATCAGAAATTATTGTTCAACAAAGAATGCTTGGCTTGCTTAGCTCTCTCCAGCTTCCCAGACTGGGTTGAGCATCTTTGAGGAAGAGTCTCCATCACGTGTGCTACCATGCCCTCCCTCCTACCCCACCCCGAGTTCTTCCCCATCTTTGTCCCATCAGGCAAAGGCACAAATGGGGAAAATATCACGTGCTGAGCCCTTCACAGCCCTCCGTCATCCCAGGAGGGGAGTTCATTCTAGGATGATTTCTAGGCACACAGGCTGGAGACTCACTTTCATATCCCCTCTGTATATGCAGGAAGGTCAGAACTCAGGTTTTTACCCTAGCTGACCAGAGGTCATTGACGTGGACATTCCTTGATGCCTGGGGACCCTAAAGAAAAAAATATTCTGGTCTTATGTATGGGTATATGTATGTAGCTAAACATGCAGCACAAACATTAAAATCCAACTTTCCAAGGAAGTGAGAGAAGCCAAAGTCGTAAAAGAGGAAAATGAGAAACCTGGGCCTGTGGCAACTCAGGTGGGACCTCTGAATTTCCACTCTCAGCCACCGCTGGCGTCACGGTCTGCTGCCCCTGCATAATGGGATCTGAAAGTGCCACCGAGCAGAGGGCAGAGCACCTTGTTAGGTCTGAAATGAATAATGATGAATCCCAGGCTCAGTCCTGCTTGGGTAAGGATAAATAAAATTAAAATTCGGAAATTTGTTTTAAATGGGTTGTTAATTGCTGTTGAGCTTTAAATATTTGAGTTTATTAATTTCTCCCTCACCCCCTGAATTATATTTCAGCAACATTCCCCTGTTATTAGGCTATTAAATCAGACATATCAAAAAGGAAGCATTTATTTATATCTTCAGAGACATGTACATCTAATTAAGATAGTGTTACTGTGCATATTTTATATTAGGCAAACGCTGCCTGTGTTTTCAGTCTCATCAGCTCTGAAGGGCCCTAATAAGCGTTTGGAAGATTTGGCTTGAGCTGGATGAGGAAGCATCCTATATCTTTCCGAGCAGTGATTGCTTAAGAACCTTCACCTTGGAGGAAGTAGCTGTTCCTAGACATTATAAAGCTCCCTCTTAAAGTTAAAGAATCCAAAATGGCAACCTCTGGAAAACAAGAGATTTGAAAATTGGCTGCATTGCCAGAATGTGTCTGTGTTAATAAAAACAATGAAACTAGCCAGCATCTAGAGAGCTCCTTCTGCATGCCACAAGCTCTTAATGAATATTCATCACTTCATGCAACCCTCACTACAGTTTGAGGGAGGAGGAAATATTTTTATCCCCATTTTATAGATGAGCAAAACAGATGCTTAAAGAGATTAAGTAATTTTCCCAAGAGGCAGAGTCAGGACTGAAACTAAAGGCTGTCTGACTGGAGCCCATGCCTTTTCCACTTTTCTTCCCTTCATTGCCAAGAAGAGTTCATCCATTCTAGAACATTCTCAACCAAAGTGTTATCATCCCTTCCCCCTTACAATGTGATGAACATTGGTTCTTGGGGAGCAAAAGAGCACATTCTTTTTATGGATAAAACACAAATATACAGGCAGTACATAAATAAATAAACAGTACTAAACTGTGGTACTAAAACTTCACGGGAGAGGACAATTAGGAGAAGACGTCTGAAAAGGCACATTAGGGAGACGACAACGACAAAGGTTGAGAAATACTGTTTTAGAGCAACTGCAGTAATACGCAGCCCCACACAGATGACTCCCTTATCCTCGTGCACAATGATGGTATCACCGTCCTGCATGCCTGTTACTACCGCTGTTTAATTTTTACAACTCAGATAAACTGGACGTGAACACGCTGTTAGCTCACTGTAATAGCAGGCCCAAGCTCCAGTGTTGGATTGCAAATTTCCTTTAGTTGTGATAAGTCTCTTATCTGGTAAACTTTTGTCAAAAGACAACGGATTCCCATTTCTAAAGGAAGATCAAGTTCTCCATGTGAAGCCATTCCAAACTGTGGAAATGATCTTTTGATGCTCACATTTATTTATGTTTTGGGGCTTCTTGAGCCCCAAGATTTGTGATTCGGTTTTCTGTAATGTTGTACAGGAAGGTAGGGGAGATATGAGTTTGGGTTATATCAGAAAAACTCAGGATGAATCGTGGTTCTCTCCTTTGCAGTTCATGAGTCTTGGGGCGAGATATTTAACGTCAAGTCTCTGTTTTCTCAGTGATAAACCTGGGTTCTTACTGTGCGTCAAGATTTTACCCATATTTTACCCTGGACTTGCACTGTCCAATATGGTAGGCCACTAGCCACATGTGGCTATTTCAAATTAAATTCATTAAAAGTAAATAAAATTTGATACTTAATTCTTCAGCCACACTAGCCACATTTCAAGTACTCAGTGATCACACATGGTTACCAACTGAACAATGCAGATAAGGAACATTTCTACCACCACAGAAATTTCGATCAGACAGCACCGTTCTAGAGACAGTAACACCAAGAAGACAAGACCTTATCAGCAAATGGGTGGTTACTTTCCATTTAACAAATTTTCAATGAGACCCAACTTCGTGCAGACCCCATTCTAAGCACAAGAGATAATCTATGATCAAAACGAAGTTCCTACACTTAAGGAAGTGTTCCTATTTTACTACTACAGGTTTTTGTGATTTCCTAATTAGTGGGCGATACAGTAGTGTGTTTAGGAATATTAGCATGGCGTCAGAGTCCTTGAGTCCGAGCTGTGTGCATGGGTAAATTTACTTATTCTCTCTGAGACTCAGTTTCTTCATCTGTAAAATGGGTATACTAATAACTTCACAGATTATTGTGAAGATGAAATGAAGAAATGGGTTTAACGCAATGTCTGGCACAGCAGGCGCTCAATAAATTATTGGTCTCCTAATTAAGATAAAAACCAGTCGGTTCCCTAAATTGCCAGTTTGTTAACATAATTAGGACATTTCCCCTGCTATCTGGAATTTATTGGTTTGTTATTAAGGCTCTATCTCAGGATGTTTCTACAGGTTACTTGATAACACTAAAGTCATGCTTAAAGTGCCATAGGAATCCATTTTTAATTCACATTTCAGAATTCATTGCTCCTATAGTAATCTTAACAACATTCTTGTTGGTATTGATTGCTGTAATTGCAGAATGTTGGAGCCTAAAGAGATGTTAGAGAAAATAGAATCGAGTTCACCTGTTGCAAAGGTAAGGCACATGAAACCCAGGGAGAAGGAGTGATGTGTCCAAAGCCACGGCCATTTAGTGGCAAAACAAGGACTAGAATGCTCGTCTCTCATCACCACATACAGCGTACACAGTATTTCAAGAAACTTTCCTCACTCCCTATCTCTTTGGCAGCTACTCCACCTCCCAAAAGAAAATGACAATACACTGATCATCCATCAGGCAAATACGTCTTCCTCTTCTCTGGACATGGAAGTGGGTGTTCATTCAAAATAGCGCAGCATTTGAAGCCCAGAGAGAACTTGGGTGTCCATGGTCATCGTGGTCCCACCCCCATGGCAGCCTTGGTGGCCAGTGGCTGCGGGACCATTTTCGCTCCCTTGTTTTGGGTGCTGCTGTGTGTATTTTGTTCCCTCCTTGTCACCTCACGATTCTCTCCCCAAAATGACAAGCCTGGAAGGGGAGTCGATCCTCTCCCTTGATGTTATTTTGTCCCGAGGGTGGAGGAATCATCTGAAGGGAAACACGCAGAGTGACTCCTCTCTTCTGGTCACTGCATAGAAAAGAATCTTGTGCTTTCAGCCATTTTTAGCGACACACTCAAATTTTGATAGAAAGAGAATGTTAAGAGAAATCACACATATAAATCCCTGGATACAGAGAAGGGAACACAATCCTCAGCCAGGTTTGAACTTTCCTACCAGAAAATGCAGGGTTTTACAAAAGTGATCAATTTCACTCGATGGGCAGTGAGGGTGTGAATAAAGAAGCCTTCTTTATAAAAAGGGCTTTTTCTTGTTTTCTTGTCCTCTAGAGTCCAAAACTTTTTTATATTCCCATTAGGAAGCCCAGAGAATGAAAATTACAGTGGACTCTGGATTATTCATGGGCCACCTGGCTTGTTTCCATCTCCTGGCGCCAAGGTGGGTCTCCATTCAATTACACAGTTCAGGCGGTGAGGGAGGTGGGCTGCTTGTCTCTCCTTCCTTCCTTTGCCTCTGGCAGTGGGAGGAAGGGAAGGAGGCAAAAGGAGCAGAGCAGAGGGAGAGAGACCTTTTCCCCTGAACTTGGGGAGAAACGGATGCATCAGCATTTCAAAGCCAAATAACAGAGGACGAGTAACTCAGTCACCAAAGGTTTGGACTAACTTGTGCAAACTTCAGCTAGCTGTGTGTGTTTGATTTTCCTGTCAGAAATGTTTTTAAGGATTTAAAAAAAGTTAGTGTCTGAGTAACGGGCACCAATATAGTTTTGCCTTTGTATGAAACAAGTATGTAGTTATGGATCATGGCATTATAGAAGCGATTAGATTTTACTTGGGGGTTGAAAAGGTTGAAAATTTTTCTTTTTTAAGGAGTATGGTTAGTTTTTATGATATGAGTGAAAGTGTAACAGAAAATCTGGCCTTGCAATTGGACCCTGATTTAGATCATCATAAAGTGCTATTTCCTCTGGAATCTTACGGCATTGGGCATGTACAAAAAAGTCCCAACAGGAAGAGAGGGAAGAGGAGGAAGTGTATGGATAGTTAGATAAAGTATGGAAACTGTCACAATATAGCATCCTGCCCTATCCCCTTCACACACGCACAGGGCAAGCAAGCAATCACAAACTCATTTGTACATATTGTGCTGACCGTATGGCTGCCTGAACACCTTTTTCTGCTAGGTTTTTCTCTGCGCTAAAGGTGCCAGTGCTCAATGTTCTGCAGGGCAGCACAAAAATGTGGATTGATTCCTTTTTGGATAAAGGTAACACGATTAAAACTGAAATTGGCTCTGCATGTATCATGGTTTGTTTGGGATTAGAATAACCAAAGAATAGAATTTCCTGCCCATCTGTGAAGAGCTTCAGAGATCAGAATTAACATGGGGAATCCCTGGGAGCATATGGAATTATCTAGTAAATGAGCAAGCATGCTTTTGCCTACTGTGTCCGTCCTGGACCTGGCCAGCCTGCAAGCAGAAGTGCCTCGCTGACCTTCGTCAGTGTGACCTGTCGCACTTCCTCCCTCTCGTAGTTCTTGGCATGCTCTGTGGCTCAGCACCACTCATTTTGGCTCCATAATTCAGCTCCCAGTTTTCCAACAGTTACTTTAATTTACGACACAGTTTGGACACACTTGCTGGCCATGACCTTGGCCCTCACCCCAGAATATTATTTTCAGCATTTATCCTCTAGCTCTCCCATTGCAACCATGGGCAGGAGGTGCTCCATCCTATTGCGGCCCCACGTCCCAGGCCCAGATGGACAAAGGCCAGGGCAAACCTATTCCAGTTCCCACCCCTAGTTGCCAATCAGGTAAGAGACTCACCCGGGAGTGGGGCAGAGAGATAAAGTTGGCTAAGTTTTTCTGCTGTGCATCCTACTTTTACAATGAGATGCCAAATACTTTTCTTCTGGCAGCACTGACGGTCACTGCACTCCTCCTGCAAAGAAATTTGGCACTCACTCAGGTTTTACCTATGGTAAACATACACATGTAGCAACTTGAGAAGATGCACAAAACTATGCCTGAGAAGTGCCAACGGATATGCTTGGATCACATATTCACCCAAAAGAAAGAAGCACTCCTAAAGTGAGTGGGCCAATGGGTTAGGTGTCTACCCCAGACCACTACGTTTCAACCCAGTCTTGAAGGACATGATGGACATATCCTATGATGGGTAGTGACAACTAAATGGAGATACGTTCCAAGTAGACAGTACCCACATGAGGCAATGTAGAGAAGCTGGGTCTAGCTGACACCTAAAGTAACTTAAGTATGGGATGTAAGTCCCCATCATAGGGTCACAAATACCTCCACTCTTCTGTAGATCTAAGTGGGATAAAATATTTTCCATTATCTTGAGACTTGATAAAGTATAAATAGCTTGTGCTTTGTCTCTCTTGGCTTTGACACCTAATGAAATGTGAAAAGGCAAGATGACACATGAAAGAAAAGCAAAAGCTAACTAATTCAGGGATTAATTTTGGAAATGCTCCAAAATTAGATCATGTAATTAGTTCACAGTTTAGAAGCCTTTGGTGGAAACAGATTTATGCAAACAAATTCCATTCACATAGGTTAGGAAGACTGAAAGATTGTATAGATGAATTATGCTTAAAACTGAGATTATGTCAGTCTTATTCCTCATTTTCTCTATTAACTGGTTTTAACAATCAAGAAAACCCAAGAATGGGTGCTATACTGCTCACTGGAAAAATCGGCAGTAGACACCAAAATGGTGGAAAGAAGGCTGTAACAAAGTTAAATGATGGCAACTCTTTAAAAGGCATAAACATTCCTTGAAGGCAAGTAGCCAAGGTTGGGAAGCTCCAAATTTGATCTGCCCTGGTTTTCATGTCTTTGTGCAATACTGTACAGGGGTGAAACGAGTAAAAGGCTAGACTGTATTATTGGTTTTTAAGCTGTATTTTTGTTGTTGTTGTTAAGAAATCCAACATAGAAAATTGTCAACAGTGGAACTTTTGTCATTGGAGGGGTCAGGGAAGGAAACACAGAAACCCAGGGCTCTTTAATAGCCACTGGCCACGATAAAATCTCTGGAGTTTTCCCACCTGAAACATTTGCGACTCAATATTAGTTCCAATTAACCATATGCTTAAATATTGATTACAGTAATATGATCATAACTTAAAACATTACCCAATTCCAATGGGAATTCTTGCTTAGATTATGAAAATTCAGATTGAAGATTCAACTATGTAGATAACTCAATGACTAACCAATACAAACAAACCATGCAATTGAGTAAGTCAACTCGAATATTAAAAAGAAAATGTTTGCTTTTTTCCACTCAGTTGACTGGTTGTCTATACGGACAAAATAAAATGACTATTTCATTGTGTGAATACTTCTTGGACGGTAAACCAGCTATTTACAAAACAGTGATTTTCAAACCAGTCAGTACATGAACATACTGTCGGAGAACAGGGGAAGGCAGATCAGGGAAGTTTTGAATTTGGCAGTTAGCCAGAAAACTTCTAAATTCAATTTGGATTTAGGCTCAGCTGTGAAGCATGTGTCTTGGTGTAGGGCAATAACAGTTTTAGGTTGGAAAAATATCACAATGTGTAAGAGCAGCCACTCCCAGTGATTCCATGAAAACAGCTCGGGGCTGATCTGTGGGTTCATATCATGTTTGAGAACTACGAGTAAACATTCTGAAATCGGCAGTATTTTTAAACTTTGCAATGAGTTGCATGAAGGTTTCAAGAATCAAGTATTTGAAAATGTTTGAGAGACAAAAATCATACCGTGAGATAAACCCTTGTGAAAAATGAGACTGAATACAAAACTGTCGTTTTTAATATTTCAGTTCTGAGTTAAGACTTCATATAGATATTTTCATTTATTCATCGCTGTTTTAATACTAATTCAGATTGGTTCTGGTTTGAGAAAAGATAATGTTCTGCAATGCTTTCCTACTTGCATGACACACCATGGTAATGAAGTTGCTAAGTGTTGCCTATATTTTGCGTGTATTTAGTTGTATTTCAAAAAGCAAGTGAGAAATTATAAACTTTTCAGAAATATATATATATTTGAATTAATTAAAACAAATTTTGTCTACAGGTCTCAAAACATAACTATTTTGCTGACATTTTGCATGTTTTGTTTTGATGTCAGGAAAAGCTCTGGCTTAAGAGTATCTGCACAAGGTTTTCCATACATCCTGGGACCTGAGCATTTCTGTGACACCGGAATAGGAGCTTACTCACTGTGGACAAACTTTTTATCTTAACAAATTTTATTGCCAATTTCTTATTACATAATTAATCCATGTTTATCAGAGAAAATATAGCTAAGCAAAAATAATAAAATAAAATAATAAAACAAAAGAAATAATAGTAAAACAAAAGTTCTTTCTTCTAAATCCTCATTAGAAATAAGAATATTGCTATCTTTGTCCATCTATGATTATTTATACAAAATAAATTCCCAGAAGTAAAATACAGCCCAAAGGCATAAAAAATTATAAATCTTTTGATATATGTCATCAAATTGCCTTGCAAAAATCTTTTACCAACTTCTAGTATTATCATTGGTGTATGGGAATGTCTTTTTCTTTGCTTTGTTTACAGTGGATCATATCATTAAGACATAGTTTCCAATTTTAGAGGTAAAAACATAGTTTATTTTCCTGGACAAACTTCCACACTGTGCAAAGTTTGTCTTCAGCTTCCTCCACCCTGATAGATGTCTCCTTTAGGTGCTAGTCTCTCCTCCACTGCAAAAATGTATTTTAGCCTCCCAGGGAACCCTGTTCTAGCACATTCTAGTACATTCTAGCATGTTCCTCTACAGGAACTGTTGCAAAGGTCGGATATTTTCCTCCTTTTGTGTATTCTGTGTTTTCAATTACAGTCTTTTTTCTCTCCCTCTTTCTCTGCTAAGGTTAATCCAATACACTAATTTCAATCAGAGCTTAACTACTGATGACATCATCCCAGGAAACATACATGTTTTTTAGAGGCTTATAACTAATAAGAATTCTAAGAAGTAAAGGACACTGGGGAGGAACGATCTATTTTTAGTCAAGGAAGATCTTTCTCAGAGACCTTCATCTTACACAAGGCAGATGCTGGCCCTCTATTGAGACCTATATGCAAGACCAGCCCTACTGCTTCCTGTCCCAGTCAAAGTGTACGATGCCAGTCTCAGCCTAGACCTGGAGATGGGTGTGGGGTGGCTCCTTCTCACTAGGCATTCTTAGGGGAGAGCAGAGCCTGCAGCAGCTTGAAGTATGGGACATAAGTTGGGCTTGAGCAATATACCATCAAGAGATAAGAGTTCTGTTGATGTCTGCATATATATATTTATTTGTGCATAAGTTGATGACTAAACTGTGCATGTGTACATTTAATTTTTTTGATCAAAGCCATGCAACATTTATTTAAAAACTCTTACTGAATATTTGCACTGATTTCCCAAGTTTTCTACAAAATGCCTTTCTGAAATACCTTCCAAGCAATGCTTTTTTTTTTCTGGGGGAATTTGGAACAATTTTGTGAACTTTCACTAAATTTTTCTTTAAAATCTAGATAGCGTTTTCTCTAAACTTAGATATAGCCAAGTGCCTATTCATTCAGACAAGTAAGTAACAAATGACCATGAAATGATGCTGGGCAAATACAATTTCCTGTCGGCGTATCAGACAAAAGACTATTAAAAATTTGTGTGAACATTTTGTCTTAGTTTTTATTGATGAAACTGATTTAAAGACACCCTGGCTATAAACTAAGAATATGTAATGCTTAGATTATAACGTTAGTTACATAAATAGACTGGAGGCAATTATTATTTGGACTTCAAATAAGAAAAAATCAAGTAACCAGGTTTATTTATTTTTTGGGAGTGGAAAGTAGGAGAGCACATTCTATACTTTAATGTGAAATAAACAAAAAAAATTAATAATCAACAACCAATTTTGAGTTTGTCACAAAAATGTGTAGGGAAGCTTCCTGCATGTTGAAAGGGAAGCTGGAGGTTTCCTTTCTACCTTCCCTCCCTTCAGCTAGAGCAGCAGTGTGGGCCATGTGAAGCCTGAGGTAGGATTTCTCAACCTTTTTGGTACCCTATGAAGATAGGCGATGAGAGCCAGGCTAAGTTATTTCTTGAATCCAGCAAGAATTTTTGAAAATAACAAACACAACCTTAGTCTTTTTGTATATCAGTTGAGGGGTAATAGTTTTTTAAAAAGAAAAAAAAGTATGCTTTTAAACCTAACATTCTGATGCACAAATATTAAAGATAATTACAGAGCCACCTCACCCTTTGTGAGCAGGGACCTGACCGACTGCTCTGGCATTCTGTGCTCACCGGAGAACAGAAGGGAAGGGAAGATGATTAAAGGTTGGAAAGATGACTGTTTCTGGCAGGGTGATATTAAGGCCATTAATATGTCTGCATTTCAGTTCCAGTGTGCTAATATATTATTCTATCTATTAAAACATCATAAAGATTACCTATAATTAAAGATGATTTATAGTCTAAGCCATAACTAGATATAATTTCATGCAAACACATTTAGGGTGAATTCTCTTTAAAGTGGATTTAGCTAGCATAATGAAAACAGTAACCACAAGGCCTTGAGAAGACAGAGGAAAAAAAGACAGTATATTTGGCCAGTACAATAAAAACCCTGACACCCTTTTATGGATTCAGACCTAAATAATCTGTATTGAAGGAACATGTGTAAAGGGATTGCTTAAAAGAAAATGTTGGTTAGTCCTCTGTTTTCTAATAAACTATTTACTTCCGATATTGAAACCCTGTCCTTAATTTTTCTCATCACTGGGAAGAGCCAGGCCAGCCAGTTCTCATTTTTCATTCGGCATGTTTTATCTCACATTTGTACTGACTTGAAACAACAGTTACACTTGCAGCTCCAGAAAGCAAAGATGAAACTTTGTTCTTGCTTTTGTGTTGAGCTGTACAATTTATTTCTCTCCTGGCAACGGATTTGAAATCTCTCTTCCTCCCCCTCTCTCTTTTCTTCCTTTTCATGGGAACTGTTTGGTGAGCGCCGACAAAGCGGTGTGTGTGTGTGTGTGTGTGTGTGTGTGTGTTTTCCCTTTGCCTGGTTTCTGTGTCGGTGTGTGCAGGCACGCATTCATTAATGTAATTCCTCAACATCCAACAAGAGTGCATCATAAACCAGGGAGAAAAAGCCTCATAAATATTTAGATGCTCCTACCTTCCAAACTAGAGTGAAAAACCGTATTTAGAGAGGAGTTGGTCTGGGTTAATCTGCATGTGAATCGAAAAGAGGGACAAAAGGATGAAAAGGTGATGGAAACTCGAATACAAACCCTATGGTCTTCAGGGGGTCATTCATCTTGCTCTTGTCAATACCGTCGCAGGCTTGGCTTTTTTCTGCGCATGAGCAAACAGAGCAGTTTTCCAAAGACAGCTGGCAAAAGATGTGGATGCTTTGTTCTATCTTGTAGTTTTTTAAGGAATGAAATTGCTTTGCACTTCATATTTGACTGACTTATTCATTCTTCTTAGTTGCTGCTATCCATACGAGTGATGCATCTATATTTAGTGATGTATGCAAATATACAAGAAGGGACGTATGAACAAGATTTTTTTTATTGTGGCAAAATATACATAAAACTGACCATCTTAACCATTTTTAAGCATACAGTTCAGTGGCATTAATGACAATTACAATGTTGTGTAACCATCACCACCACGTGTTTCCAGAACTTTTTCATCATCCCAAACAGAAGTTCTGTACATATTAAACAATAACTCCTGAATCTCCCCTCCCCCAGCATCAACAAGATCTTAAAAAACGCCATTCCCAGAGACTCTCCATGGAGTTAGAACTCCCAGCACTTGATTTTAGAGGGGTTGGGGCGTGCAGAGCAAGTGAGAGTGACGGAAGGTAAAGATAAAGAAATGAGATAAAGTCAGAAAAGTCTTTGCTCCCAAGTGAGAGCTGATGAATTCAAAGTCTGGAAATCAATATGGGGAAAGAAAACTGAGTGTCAAATGGCCAGTCTGATTTTCACCAGAATGAAAGAAAATGAGAGTGAAAAGGTTAGTAGCATTTGAAAATTCTCCATTTTTTTTTTTTAAGGAATTGGTTTACCCAAGTAAGAATTTCAAAATAAAATTCAAAGATAAAAGCCTTGTAATACCTGCTATTATTTGAGACAAAACAAATGGAATACATATTTTATAGAACTATTCCACCAAATAGTGGGAGATGCACTGTACTTGACCAAGAGACTAAAGTGAAGGCTGGGAGCCTAACCTGTATAATTAACTAAAAATTAACTCATATTGTTATTACGCTTTTCCAAATCTCTGGGGTTGCAACTATGTTGCTTTAAATGAAAAACATATCCAAGTATTATCGGTCAAATTCCATTAGAAGGCAACATATCCTGGAGGAAATTTGCAAGAATTTCCCAACCCCTAAATTCACCACTTACTTTAAGAAATCTTTAATAAATGTTCAGTGCAATTAAAAATAAAATGCGGGCAGTCCCACTGAGTTTGTTTTAATGGGATCTTGTTTCGTAGCACATACAGCCAGGCTCCCTCCCTAAGAATGAGCACTATCAGTTGAGACCACGTGTGAGTGACCAATACTCTTCTTCCCTCAGTGGAAGTCATGCCTGTTAATGCCACTCATTATTTAAGGAATTTTAATATCTTATATAATGTGAAGGTAGGATTATCAAGATGGCTCTCAGGGCAGGTGTTGGGGGAGGGGAGAGAGTGTGTGGAACCAGAGGCCCAAGGGAACTGGAGGAAGGGGCAGAGCTGGTAAACTGGAAACCTGCAGATCCAAAGAAGGGGAGAACTAGCTCTAATTACCTTAACCAAAAAGGAGGTTCACTGACAGAGGGGATGGGGAAATACGAATCAGACATAATGAATATAGGAGTTCAAACGATGTCGTAAGGAACGTTCTTCCATAGTGGCTCTGCTCTCCTCCATGTTGGCATTTTTCCTTGGCAGGCTCTTCCCATGTGGTAAATACCACCATGGCCACAGTATCCCTAAAATATGTTTGTCCTTAGACACCAGCAATCCCACCAAAAAAAAAGACATCCCTGTTTTCCTAAAGTTTCAGAGGAGTGGTGGCAATGATTGATTAGCCTGCCCTGGGTCAGATGGCTATCCTGGAAAGACATGGAGTCTTGTGTACATGCCTGCCAGTGGTGGTGGAGGTGTTAAGCCACACTAAAGTCACACTAGATTTCCCACAAAACAAGAGAGGGCATTCATGGAAAGGAGGAGGAGGAAGGGAAAACATGCTGGGTAGACAACTATAGCTCCAACAGTTCACTGAGAAATTGATCCTTCATTGAGCTCAGTATACGTGAGTTGTATTGGTAAGGATGGGCTGGGATGCCAGCCACACGCGTACTAGTTCAATACAATAAAAGTGGGTTTCCTATGTAGGTAACAGAACTGTGCAAGTGAAGAGGTCTGCAAAATGGCCTTTCTCCAGGCAGTCATCTTCAACAAGTCTCCATTCCAGCTGGCCTCAGTAGGACGGGCAATGCTAGAGGACATAGGAGGCATTTATGGGCTTGGCCTGGAAGGGGTACACATCACTTTAGCTCATATTCTGTCGACTAGAACTCAGTCACATGGCCACGCCTAACTTCAGAAGAAGTGGGAAATGTAGACTAGCTGTGTGTCCTGGAAGAAGAGGGAATGTGTTTTGGTGAACCGCTATCAATCTTTGCCTCATCAGTCTCTACCACTCTGCAAATGGGTCCAAAACTAGAGGCACTTGCAGTGGCATAATAATAGCAGTATCAAGTTCATACTATGTGCCAGGGGCTGTTTGAAGAGCTTTGCATATATTAACTCACATAGTCCTCTCATCAACCTGGGAGGTGGGATGAGCATCCTCATTGGAAGATGAAGAAACACAGGCACAGGGAGGTCACTTAACTTGTCCAAGGTTGCGAAACTAGAAATTGTTGGAGCCAGGATTTGTCACAAGACAGGCTGACCACACAGGGTTGTTGGGGAGACTAATTGAGATGATGTTTGTAAAGGTCTAGGTCATGCAGGTCACAAGGGAAACACAATCAGTGGAAGTAGGATTATTAAACTATTTCTCAGGGTAAGCATAGCATCTTGGATGAAGGCTCATCTGGAGGTCTAGCTGGAGGCTGAGGGACAGTGTCCATAGACACAGGCTCCAGAAGGCTCTTTCTTCCTGAGTCTACAGGGCCCCTGGGGAGTTGGGATCTGTTCATTAAATTCAGGCAATTGTTGAACCAGCCATGTTGATGCAAGGGCAGGACCAGCCTTCACCCCTCCTTGTACACATTACCTGCCCGAGCAAGAATACCTTTCCACCATGATCTGCACACCCTTCCCCTGTTCTTGGCCTCAGGTGGAGTTAGTTGCTCCTTGCTCAATGTTCCTGAAAGACTTCCAGCAGAATCCCATTGAAAGATAGCCCACTGCTTTGCAATGTTTGGTTTACTTGCCCCCTTTGCCACACTGCAAATTTCCTGAAGGCGGAAATGATTACTCACTTTGTATCCTCAGAGCCTCACATCGTGCATGACAGAGCAGGCCATCTAAAAGTGCTAACTGGGTGTTGATGATAATTATAATAATAGCCAATATACATTGACCAATCGCTACACTCCAGGCATATGCTAAGGGCTTTAAAATCATTGACTCATCCTCATAGTAACACTATAAAGTGGGTATTATCAGTATCCTCATTTTGCAGCTGAGAAAACTGAGGGTTGCTGAAATCAAGCTGTCTGCCCAATGTTACAGCAGAGCCAGAGCTTTTCAACATCATATCACCTCACCAGGCCAGCTTTAATTCAATGATGGAGACCCACATCCTGTTCTATGCCAGAAGCAAGGAGACCTCCAGAAGGAGCAGAGAAGCAAGTGCTAGATCAGTGAAGAACGGCCCAGTGGGGAAGCCTTGGGTGTGGGAGGAGCAGCAGGAAGGAGAGATCCCCAAGACCTCAACCAGGAGATGCTACATTAGGGACCACGGTGGCAAATTCAATGTCAGAACAAGTAGCCCTGAGCCCACATGAGAAGCCTTGGAGGGGGAGGACAAGGGACTCCTTTGTCAAAGGATCAGAGATTGGGCCTGGATCCCTAGGAGCTAGGGCGCACCCCCCAGGTACAGAGAAGGTGCCTCAAGGACCTCTACAGGAACAATTTATAAGAATGTTTGGGAAATATTCCCAATGGTTGACCAGGTCTCCATTGAAATGTAAATGAGGTCAGGCCCTGGGAACACCTGCTGGATTTTTCTGAGATTCTTTAGCAACCTTGTAATTTCTCAATGTTTGTAATTTTATAGAACTCTATAGAACAGAACTCTGACCTTTCTACAAGTAAAACTCCTGTGTCCTTTTCTCTAATTTGTGTTTGTTTTGGAGGCAGTGGGGATAAAGAGGGGTGGAGGAAGCCATGTGTGTCCTGTAGTGGGCCCACGGAGGAGAGCCCGGGGAGAAACTGTGGGAGGAGCTGGGAAGGAGGAGTGAGCAGCCCCAATTGCCAGGGGCTGGCGAGGAGGAAGGGAAACAGGTAGGGTTGAGCGGCTAGGGGATGGTGGCTGGCCTGGGATACAGGGGGTGCAGTGGGTTGACACGATTCTTTGGCTACTTCTAGAACTGAACTCTCAGACCCAAGAAGGATCTGTGTCATCCAGAATCTCATGTCAGCATTAGAGGGAAGCCAGTGCATGCACTTACCTCTATTACACATGCAGCTTAAATTAAATTCGGAAGGGAAGACTACAAGCTTTGCCTATGTCCTTCGTAGGAATCTGGGGATCAGCGACACTTGACAGCTGAAATCACTGGAGGCTCACCATTGCAAAGAGTGAACACTGGCTCCTGAACTATTCGGTGGAAACTGCTGGGCCATGGAAGCTCCTGTAGCTGGGCAGATGAGGTCCAGGTAGAACAAACTGTGAGGTTTAATGAGCCCGAAGATTTTCTCCCCAGATCCGAGGCCTCCTTCTGACTCTTAAAGAGGGAAAATAGATCGTGAATGGCAGTATTTCTCAGTTTTGTGAAGTTAACCACTTATTTAATTCAATTCCAATTAAAAATAAATGACAGGTCCAAGGACTCTTTTTTTTATTCTCTGAAATGTTTTCTAATATTTTTCTTTGGTTAACATTATACAGAAACCAGGATCTTTACTTCAGCAATGCAGATCTTGCAAACAATTTTCAAACAGAGCACAGAATCTGAACACTCTCTCAAGCCACCTGGGACCAACCTGAACTTTAGGACATATAGGAAGACTAAAGCCACATAACACTTTGGGGTTGAGAGACAGATGAGCTAAAATTGAGCTAGCAGGCAAGGAGTAGTGTTTTTTTTGTTTAGAATTTAAAAAATGCAACTATTAAGCTAACTTCCTAGCAAATTTGCCTTTTGGAAACTTTTTCCTTGTGTTCTTTTCTTCCTCATGCAGTTTACCTTTACTTCCTTTCCTAGAATGACATCGTTAATGACTGCTGTGCAAAGTGGTGACTGCTGAACACGGTGTCAAGTGAAGGATAAACAACAATGATTAATTTTATATGCTCAGCATTTTTTAAAAGCTATATTAAGATGCCAGCAGAGTTTCCCATCCAGGAAGTTCGATGATAGACATTAAGAACCAGGTCATGGGAAATACATATCACGGTGCTAATATGCACACATTATGTTATAAATAAAAATTCTATCACATCACAGCAGCAAGTTTCAAAAATAAAGTAACCCATGTTGCCTCCAACACTCTGTGTGGAGAAGCTGCTGGGCTGGTAGGAAATGACCCTCTGACCAAGAGGACAGAGAGAATGAGAGGAGTCAGGCAGTGAGGAGAGCTCTTGAACTTGAGACGGAATAGGGGAGGGGAAACACCATGAGGGAGGGCCAAGGCCTGAGCTCAGATTTGTGTCATTCCCATGACAGCTCAAGGACATGTCAAAGATTTTGCCTTGGGAAAATCTGTTGTAAAAATAAGTGATTCAAGGTTTTTGCTGTAGTTCATAGCATTACCCTCACTTGGTACATAATTGTTGCATACAAGTTGCAAGAAGCCAGTTTTGTAAAAAGAGCTATCAAGAGGAAAATTCTCATCGAGCCCTTGTGATGTCAGGGATTCAATGAATAGTTCAGAGTGAATCACGCCCCCAGAGATCTAGTGATAACGTATCATCCTTTGGTAACAACAAAACATACCATGCAAATGTAAATTTTGTTCAACATTAGTATTATAATGGATATGTGATTCACTGTGAAGCCAGACTCATAATTATAAAACTGTTTATTTGAAAATTCTTTTTTCCTTTCAGTTATCTTGATTTAATTGTGTGTCTTGGGCTTAATTTTGAAATGATGCTCTGAAAACCACTTTGATACCTTGAAAACCACTGAGAGAAAATTTTGGTTCCATTGGCAAATTTTCTGAGGCTATATGGTGGCCTGGGGGCTGGCCAGTGGTGACAGATCCAGGGCAATGGAAATCCTGGTCTCTGGGATCTGGTCTTGCCAAAGCTGAGACTTCCAGGGGTTCACTTGGATAGATCAAGCTCACCTCAGGAAAGGCCCTGGGGACCTAGAGCTGTCGTGATCTCCTTGTTGCTTCATCTGCAATCTCATGAAACTGACCTGCAGAAGCCATTTGTGAGTGTAGGTACATTTGTCTCCTCCCACCACTCTCAGATTTTAAGCTCCTCAAAACATGAGTAATTTCTTCCCATGGTATCTGATTTTAAACGTCGGTGGTGGGGGCAGGCTTGGTGGCATAGTGGTTAAGTTTGTGCACTCTGCTTCGGCAGCCTGAGGTTCATGGGTTTGGACCCCAGGTGCAGACCTATGCATTGCTCATCAAGCCATGCTGTGGCAGCATCCCACATACAAAATAGACGAGAATTGGCACAGATGTTAGCTCAGCAACAATCCTCCTCAAGCAAACAGAGGAAGATTGGGAACAGATGTTAGCTCAGGGCCAATCTTCCTCACCAAAATAACCTCCAGAAAACAAAAAACAAAAGTTAGTGGGGAAGGGGGAGCGCTCATTGCTTTACTTACCAAATGTCTGTTGAGACAGGAAGAAAGCATGGTTTTGCTGAGTGGGCAGGTGGGGCAGATGTCCCTGCTCCTTCCCTCACCTGTGTGTGCTGGCTGTAGCTGCCTGAGCCAGAGATTGGAAGAAGCCCTTGAACCAGGCTAATGTAGCCCAACAGTTGCTTGGACATCACATTTCAAACCCTGGGTCAGCCCACAACTGTCAGTGTTTGAACAGAATAATGGGATCAATGCAGTTGTTGTGGGAGCTCCTGCAAGTGTGGTAGGGTGTGTGCCTGTCCACTCTGGTCCTGGACCCTCCAGAGGATGTGCTCTCCCAAGGCGCCTCTGCTATCTGCCAGCTCAGTTGTTCAGAGGGCAGGAATGCAGGGACGCAGTTTCTTCTTGGCCACATTTGCCCCACTGCTACAGAGCTGTTTCTACTGTCCGGGAGCTGAAAACTGGGTCTTGAAGAGCCTGGAGGCCCTGGGCCAGCAGCTTTGGATCAACCGTTGTTGCTGCTGACAACACAGCCAGCCTGGGATCAAGGCTCCTTTTCATCAAGTTATTTGTCCTTTTACTTCCTAGTGTCAGCAGTCCTGGGAACAGGAAATAGTTTGTGCAATAGGAAGCGGCAGGAAACTGATGATTAATTACTTTTGAGCTTTGTGGATACAGTATCAACGTAAATAAGGTATTTACACACATTCCAAACCCCATGTGCATTGATAAATATGAGCTATATCCAGGCCTTACTCTTTTCAGTTTTAAAAACAATACTGTTTTTAAAAACAATACTGAAAGCTTACTGAGTGCCAGGGATTTTGCTAGGCACTTCATGTTATTCACTCCATAATCCTGACAACATCCTTAGGTCACATTCTCCTATTTTACATGTGAGAAGAAAGAGGCAAAGGTAGTTTCTGTAGCTTTGGTAAGAGGCAGGGCTGAGAATATGAACCCGGGGCCTCCTTAGCTGCTGCCCTGTGCTCAGCTGCCTCCTCCAGGCACCAGCCAACTCTTCAGGATAAATGTTTTAGGACTTTGTTTCACTGCTTGGGTTTAAAGATAATTCATCTACATATCTGTGACCAAAGCATTTCTATGGCTTGGCAGGTGGTTATGTAGTGGGGCTAAGGTATTATTATTTCACATTTTCAAAGAGCCGAAGGAAGTACTTATTAGACACCAATTGTCTGAGCCTAGAGATGAAAGGCCTCCTTCCCCTACCAGGCTCAGTGCTGAGCCAGCCACTACTGTCCCCACTTAGTATCTGCTCCCTGCCCCCACATTGAGTGACAGGGCCTGGTTTGGCCATTTGATTAAGGGAAGGTGTGTCTCCATAAAATGAGGCACCGGACTAGCTGAAATGTTGAAATCTGGTCAGCTGAGGGAGAGGAGAAAGTCAAGTCTGGCTATGGGTCCCTAGAGGTTAAGGAACCTCATGCATAGAAGGGCCTGCCACCTTTGTCCCCCTCAGCCAGCCAGCCAGAGAGGAAGCTGGTACTGGAGGGGGAGCAGGATTATTGGTGGCATGTCAGCAGATGGGGCAGTTTACAGGGCTGTCTTTGAATTCTGTGAACCCAAGTCTTTTTTCTCTTTCCTCATTTCACAATTTAACACGTTAGTGTTCCTGATTCCCCCCTCACATTCTTTCTGCTCCTTGAATAGCTTTACCTGGAAAGAGAAATGATACTAGCAAGAGGAAAGCCCGATCCCACCGTCTGTCACAGCTGCAGCATGCAATTCCCCACTACTACTTAATTCCACGCTCACACTACAAATATAGGGCACCCATTTTAGAACTGTTACGCAAAAAGTGTTCCTCATTTCAGAATGCTACATTTTATTTCCATCTACAAAATGATGCTTACTACCAATGGACATTGAGAAAAATACAGTGTAATTAATGTCAGTTAATCAAGTTGGTGGCCCTTGAAGATCTATAAAATGTAACTGTAACACATTTTTACAGAAGGGCTTGGACAGAATAATTAGGAAATAGTAAATGCTGACATCATCAGTATTACTTGTGCAATTCAGCAAAGGAACATGAATGGCTATGGAGGACTGGGGGAGAGCAGAACGGAAGCACCTCTTTGGTGTGAAATATGAAGGGTTTACCCTAAGGGGGAGGAGTAATCATTTTTCAGCTCTGGTGACAACCTGTTTATTAAAACATTATTTGTTGGAAAATAGAAAGTAAAACTGAAGGCTTTGGTATTTCATCGTAACCGGGCAAACATGATTTTCAGAAATCTTCTTTCTAAATTTGGATATTGAACCTACACATATTTTAGATAAAAAGTTATCCATTTTTGTTGCAATCAGTAAAAACTAGTAAACTCAGGTTTAATGGACATGAAGATATGAAGTAAACAACGTTCTGAATTTGTAAATCAGCTGACACAAATAGAGGGAATATTTAAAATGTTCTTAGCAATTGGTACAGCAGGAGCTCAAATAACCCGAGTGGCTGCAGCCTGGGTGGGAGCAGAGCGCTGGGCATTGTGCCTTCGGCTGCTGGCTTGGGGGCATTCCTGGGGGCTCTGGGAGAAGGCTGGGAGGTGTTGCTAAGAGGAGGAACTATGCTCTGTGAGTGGTGTGGAAATAGTTCAAAACTTAAAAGTGACAAAGCTGAAGCGGTGAGCACTAGTTGAGTGTCAGTGCTCCGAATAACTGCTTTTCATCTTATATCTAAATACGTAGTAAAGTAATTCTGATACAATCTCATTGTTATACAAGCTCCTTTAATATTAAAACAAGAGATCCTCATTTTCTGACCTGTTGGGGACTCAAGGGACTAGGTGTGCTCTGACCCTGTCATCCCAATGGGATATACATTTCTTGCAGAGTGAGGCATATCTCATGCTCCAAAATACTTCCCAGGAACCAGTGAATCACCTTGCAGAAAGCTGTTCCCACAGTGCCAGGCCCCACTGTCCCCTTCTGTTTTCTCTATGTCACTGAAGGCAAAGAAATCTTTTGGATTTTCAGATGCTACTATTTACTCAAGTAAGTATTCTCGGCTGTGAGCAGCTTACACAGCTGCTCGCCCTCCCTAGAGCCTAAGTATGTCTATGTGTTTCTTTCTTTCTTCTTTCATTCATTCAAACAACTAACTATTGAAAGTAGACTATTTGTAAAGCATTTAAAGAGCAGAAAGAGGAAGAGGCCTGGATTCTACCCTCCAAGGAATTTTTATGCTTTCCTAATATAAGTTTCTCCAGTAGGAGCCCTAGATGCAATTTTTTGGCGCTCCCACTTTTTATTAAGTTGTAATATGTTAAAAAAATAAAACAAAAAGGAAGAAGATTGGTTTTAACCTGTTGGAAATTATAAAGATGTAATTTTCAGTCAAACGTATTGTATTGCCTGAGGGAAACAAAAATCCTTAAATACGTATTTTTTAAATTTCAGTATAGAGTACAAAATTGGACATCTGAGATTTTCAAATACATTTCTTATTGCCATTACATGACTATCCATCTGTGCACAGGGTTATCCTAGACACTGAAATTACATTAAAACAAAGTCAATTTGCTGATATAGATGAGAACATTTTATTCAGAATCACGGAATTTTGGAACTCTGAAAAACTTCCAAGATCACTTAGCTCCAATTTCAGAGAGACTAAGTTACTTACTCAGTGTTTCACAGTCATTGTGATAGAACTAATAAGGCTTTTTTATACCCAGCACAGCAATCTTTTGTCTACATGACATGAATGCTATTTCAATTAGATACAAGAGCACAATGTTTGAAAAGGTTCAACATAACTGTTGGTTAGAACACTAAAAAAATAAAGACTCAAAGATGACAGTATTTTAATCATTTAAAGACATAGCTCTTAAGGTACCCAAATTTAACCTATGGAAGGGCCAGCAGTGTGCTGTAAATCGCTTAGGAGTTGAAGGTCTGGTTTGAATGTCGTCCCCAACATTTACTAGCTGTGTCATCAGAGTCACATCACTTAGCTAACTCTCAGCCTCGGCTTCTTCACTATAAAATGGGATAATAATTAACTCAGAGCTGCTGTGCATTCATTGAGATAATAACTGAAGGGCCTGACAGCGCGTAGGGACTCTATAAATGTCAGTCTTCTTTTTGTCTGCCTGGTCCCACTAGGAACTCTGTTTAGAAAGCATGAATACACAGAAGTTACTGGAAAAATGCAACATTTAGGCTATAAGCTAAATGCTAGTAAAGGATAACAACATTTGATCAAATGTCTGGGACATGACTAAGCACTTCCCTTACTTGTAAAATGTTTACTCACAGTTAGTTATTTAAAACTAATGCATAGATTATGAATCAAACAGTATCCGTTAAACATGTTAAAAAATCTAATCACAGATTCATCGTCAAGGAACAAGATCCTGAAGGAAAAAAACAACAAATCAGCGCAGTCCACGGGAACACTACGGAATTTGTTTTGCAATTATAAAACCATGAATCTGTCTGAAAGTTGATCAAAACAAAATGCATTTTTAATTCACTCTCATATTCGTATAATTAACAGACAATTATTTTTTAGTTAAAGTTTCTGTTTAAAATGGCATGCAGATCGGATTACATGGAACCAGGCCTGCCTCCTGGCTGACAATGTTCTTACCTCTAACGTTTCATTTAGGGTCAAATGAGTAGAAACCTGACACCACCAGTTAGCAGTTAACCCCTGTACAGTGGTGGAAGCTAAATATTAGTGGGAGTCTGCAGCCATCAGGGTAGTGGTTTGAAAAGGCAGTACAATTAACACTAGAAGGGCCGTGAAGAGCAGTGCCCATGGTTTTACAAATGCTGTTTTTGCACTCAGAGATGTAACGATG